ATTTTAAATTAAATTTTAATTAAATAAAATAACGTTATTAAAAGTTGGGACTCCAATTTTTATTTGAGATTTAATTTGATATGCATTGTTCTAATATATATAGAAAAAAATATACATCAATCCCAACTTCTAAAATAAATTAGACTCATAGCGTTAAATTATGTTGTTTTATTTAATTAAATTTTAATTTAAAATTTAAAAACCCATGGTTAATAGTTGCATTGGGAAATGGATTTTATTATGAATATATAAACAGCTTTTAAATAGAAATATTAATATTTAATAAAATAAATTTTAAAATTTTTAATTCGATTCTCAATTTACTACAATCCTCATTCTCATTCTAGACTTGTACTTGATAAAAAAAAACCTTTAAAAATAATAAGTTAATTGTAGATATATATGATTTATGAAAAACCAGTTGCTAGTTATGATATTTTTTCTCAAGGTGTTATTTCAATGCCACGTTCTTCTTCTTTTGCCCTTTTAACACTTCCATTATGAGAGGAACAATCCTTTTTTTCTAAATTCGAACAAGGCCAAGGATAAGAAAGAAAACGTTATAAATAAAAGTCTTTGCTAACTTAGATCCATGTTATTATTATTGATGCACCAAAGAAGAGATAAATTCATGAAGTTGCAAGGATCATTAACAAAAGACATGTTTATTTTATCCCATAATTGGAGGGAAGATCAAGTCGAACCAACTTGTGTTCAAGTGAGAAGTTTCGCAGAAGACTTGTTGGGAGAAATCTAAATAAAAGAGATTAAGATAACTAAATTAAACTTGCAAGTAGAGGCCTTTAGCACAAGTAAATTAATTACACATTCAATATATACTGACTGGTTGGCTAGATTTGCTAAAAATGTTCTGTATCCTTTTGATTTCTGAGATGAACATAGATAGGTTTGGCTTGAGTCGCTTGACTTGTTAGTCAATAGCTAGTGGATTGAAATTAAAGCTAATTTCTTGATAGTGTTTAGAAAATAGGCCACTATTGGGCCATAGCTTATGCACATAAGGATATATATATCATTGGACAATTTTTCATGGTAGAATGTAGAAAAAAAGAGAGTGAGTGATGAGTTAAATTTATATATATATTAATAGGAAATTTTTACTTTGATATTATTGATATTTGGATGAGTTTTATGGGATTTTGTTTGATTTTACATGGTTTTCATCCTTTGTGTAGGAAAGAATTTAATTGGAAGAAATCCTACTTTTTAGAAGTAAATTGAAGAGATCAGAGACTTGAGGATCAACTTGTGCAGAATCCAGAAGTCAAGAACCAAATCTGCTATTTTACCATTAAAGAAATTACAAAAGGAGACCAGAAACCCGACACGGGTGTAGTGTCGACACATGATCGGGTGTCGACACCATGCATTAAGAATCAGATTTTGTTTCCTAGTTTGTGTCAACACGTAATCCGAAGTGTCAGCACAACGCGATCAGCATCCAAAATTTAGTTTCCTATTTCTGTTCCAAGTCTTACTTCTATTTCAATTAGGGTTTCTAAAATCCTATAAATATCCATCCAAATTCAAAATTAAGGAGAGCATTGGAAGGCTAGTGGCAACCATCTTTTGAGCATTCTTGAAGATCAAGATAAAGGATTCAACAATAGAAGACCAAGGAGTTCGAGTTCCTCAAATTTGGTTTTGTTTTTCCTTGGGTTTTTATCTATTGTTTGATATTTGAATGTTCATAATTTTGATTTCATATTTTATTCTTTTTATTATGAACTGATTTATTTTATTAAGGTTATGATGTAGCCTAATCAATTCAATATAGATTTTGTGATTTTATATTTTCAATTAAAGTTATTCGCATGAGGAGTTTATATTATTGAATTTAATGCATTGGAAGCCTGCTAATCTTTCAATTGATTTAGTGATTTATGCATGAACTTGAGAAAGAATTGCATAGATTAGACCAATAATAATATAAACCCTGTGTTAGACTATGAAACCAAGAGGTAATTAGCTCACATGTGGTAGTGGAGGAAGAGAAGAGAGTTAGTAGCTCCCCCTTCTTAAGCTAGAGGTTTCCATAAAATCTAATGCTCATTAGTTTGTTTAAAATTACATAGAGATATGATTAATTTAACAAACTAGTAAAGGATTAACTTGACTTGAGAAAGCTAGTTAATTAATTTAGGGAAATCCGTCATCACATGCAATAACACTCAACAAATTAGCATATTAATCCATAATTTATATTGATTGACTATGGTGAAATCAATGCTTTAGTATCTCATATCTTGGTTAGGTTTAATTTAATTGTTATTTTCCTTTTATTATTATTTTTAGTTAAACTTTCTTCCCATTTGGTTGTTCAAATAAATTTGGATTAATTATTTTGGTACTTAGTTAGACACAATCCTCGTGGGTTCGACACTCTTCTCATCATTATATTACTTGGAGCGACTAGTACACTTGCTAGGGTGATTTTAGTGCATTAAGTTTTTGGCACCGTTGCCGGGGATTGTTGATTTAATTAATATCAGAGTTGGTTAATTCTGGATTTAATTTGAATGTTTTCTTTTCTTTTATTAATATCAGAGTTGGTAATTAATTCTGGTTAATTCGTAAGATAAGCTAAGAAATGTACATCTCAGGCCATGAATAAGTCTTCTTCAAGTCTCCCACGTGGAGTAGATATATCACATCTTCTTTGATGTAGAAGCCTTTAGCTAAAGTCAATTAATTTCACAATCAATATACACTAGCTGCAAGCTAGATTGGCCAAAAATGTTCTTTATCCTCCTGGTTTCGGAGATGTATGTAAATAGGTTTGGCTTGAATTGCTTGACTTGCTAGTCAATAGCAAGTGGATTCAAATTAGAGCTAATTTCTTGGCAGTGTTTAGAAAATAGGCCACTA